AGGAGGTCAAATAGATAACTTTAGAACAACAGTTTTCTCTGAAAATAGATGTACATCATTTCTCACCAGGTGTCACGAGCATTGAACTGTGCAAAACACTTTGCACTGCTGTATTATCTTTCATCAAAGTACCTCTAAGTATTATATGAACTTTTAGTCTAGTTTTTTTGATTTGCTAGAGTTTTTCAGCTGTCGTTATGTTATGAACAAGGACAATAAGATTTTTATTTTTTTTTTTTCCCCTTTACAGTTGTTTCCTGTCTTTGCTCCTGGTGGCAGCTGTGGTTTGGAAGATTAAACAAAGTTGCTGGGCATCACGACGAAGAGAGGTTGAAATGACAAAATCGAATGCTATCTCTTAAATGACTTTTTTATAGTTGTTCTCTCTTGTATTTATTCACATACGCATAGCATTAACCTTCAATTAAGGATAAGCTCCACTAACCTGTAAATGCTTCTGTTTGGGGATGTATAATAGTGTACTTTTGACTACAGTTTCAGTGACAAATGATGCTATTTTAGTATCCTGATGCTGCAGTTATTGTGAAGCACAAAAAAACAGGGGTGAATGTCCTACATTCCCAGAAATTGGGTTCTAGACAGCATAAATACAAAACCATCGCAAATTAGGAGATTCTTTACATCTGTTTTGAAAGAGGAAGTTTCTGCACTGCAGCTCTGAACCACAATAGCTCCCGTTTTAATCTGTTAAAAAAAAAAAAAAAAGGCTAATCCCTGTTTGCAAACTGAAAGTTTATCTAAATGTTTTGGGGTGGTTGTGTGTTTGTTTTTCCCTGGAACATAGTAACATAAGAGAAAGGTGGGAGAAGCCACCCACGATTCGCAAAGCTGTAGTGTACTACCTAAAAAGGCAACTATTAGTGCTAGAGCTTTCTTCTCTTCACCTAGTCATGGACCATGCTAGCTTCCCAACTTTTTCTTGTTTGCAGCATATAAAAAATTTGTTCTGTAAACCCCCTAAATATGGTTCCTCCTTGTTTATTTATCCCTGATGCGTTTGGTGATTTTTTTTTTTTTTAACCACGCTTTATTCCTGCTTCTCAGTTGAAGCTGATTTCATGTTACACCTTAAGCACAAAGGGTGACCAAGATAGAATGGCCAATGTGTTCTCACTCAGTAGCATAAAGAACATGTCCTTATTTCTGATTTTTAAGCATAAATGCAGAGATGTGTAGAGAAGCAAGCCCTGTGTGCTGCAAGGCAGACGACTGCATGTCCCTGGGGTTTTCTTGCTGTGGTAAACACTAAAACCGTGGAAGGCAAAGCCCTGTATAATGTACAAATACAGCAGAGGTTAGGCTGGGTTGTGCCTGGGATTATTTGCAGGAGCTTTGTTTGGTACAATCTGTTAACTTGTATGCAAAATGAGAGAAGCCAGACTTTATTGAAGTGAGTCTATGCGCGCTTTCTATATGTAGTCTATACATATAGACATTGTCTATACGTTGTCACCCCAGACCAGATATGCTTTCCTAAGGAGTGAGGTGTGTTTCTGTCCTGCTTTTAAATTTTAGGGTGAAATCTGTCCATTCCCATAGATTTTCATTTTTTTTTTCCTCCCAGCTGTCCTGCTGGGATGAAGCTCTTGGCAGCTGCAGGCACCCAGCTGTGTAACCGTTCTGTTCAAGGGTGTTTTATTCATACGTAGTAGTTGATCAGGAGTATTCTGGGGATCAGTTTTTACAGTGCCCATTCTGTGCAAGCACCCATCTCTTGCATGTCTTCAAAGAAGTCTGTATCTGGTTGTACTTTCCAGTACGGTAGTGGGAATAGTAGAAATATATTCAATTTGAGGATCTCCTTTCTTATAATAAAGCAGGATGATGTCTGATAACTCTTTTCTTGCTCTTTCTGCTTCAGATGTTTTCGCTTTTACTAGGGAACTCAAATGCATAATATAATCAGTGGGTTTCGAACAGATAACCCTTAGAAATAATTTAAGTCTTTGAGCTTTTCTGTGTTCTCTGAAGGTAGATAAATTTTGACTAGGGTGGCTGGTTTTTTCCTTCTCACTTTCTTGGCAAGAAAGTAAGCTGGAGTCAGCATAACATTCCCTGTTGGCTCCTGAGGTTAAACGTTATCTAGGAATGTATAAGGAATATAGACTGAGAAGTAAATACTGTGCTTTGGAGCTCAGTTAAAATATTTTACCAGTGGCCTAAATGAAAAATGTCTCTATAAATTAAGTTACTTTGAGACTGATGCATGTTTTAAGGAAAAAAGCTGGAGTACTAGCAGCATATTGGCATGTTTTAGTCTTAAATTCAGTTTACATATGTGGCTATTTGACAGGCAGTTCATCAGTGTGTTCTTTTCCTGGCAGATTCCTGTCTTTTGCTGTTATTTGTCTTGCTCCTTCTTTACACCTAGTGACTGTATTGTAGTTCAGAGATCTCTGCTATTCCATTCCTCTTTTATTAGAAATACTTGTAAAACTTGAGGAGACTGTTTTAATTTTTTGCCATGCCATTATTAGATATATTAATAAAGACCGTCTCCAGAAACAAGTCTGCCCAAAAATTCTTTGACTTTCTGGTATTATCGAAGATGATAATAGCTTGCCGGGATTTTTTTTTTTTTTTATATGGACTCTCAATAAATCCTAGCAAAGCTCTCTTTAAACATCAGTAGTTAAAATAATGATTAATAGCTATTTGTTACACTGGAAGTTTTAAGTGTATACAAGTTTACCCCTGTGTTCTGAGGATGTTTCTGAAGTGTATGATTTTTAGATTTGCCCTTTTTCCTTCCTTTGGAGGTGGCTGTTCTCTTTGGTTTTCTCCACTTCCCTTGACAGGAGTCTTGGGTCACAGAGTTTGCAGGCTGGACTGGGAAAAAACGATCTTTGTTTATCACTTTTCTTTCCTCTGTAAACTGCTGATGCAATTGATAGAGGCCACCTCCACCACCTCCTCCCATCATATTACAATTTGGAGGCTGGGTGAAAGGAAAGGTGATTAAGCACCAGTGGAAGGACACCTGATTCAGACAGCATATTGTAAGCTGTAAGTTAATATATGCTGCAGCCCTGCAGGAAGATATTTCTCCAGTTTGGGCTATATTTGTAGAATTAGTCAAGTTACAGTCACCCGTCTCCCATGGGTTGTGCTGTAGTAATTCTGTGCTTGTTCTCTAATCTTAATCCAAAAATAAGTAAAATATAATGCAATCTGCAGGTAATTCCCAGCTATCAATCACTTCTTCTTCCAATATAAGCCTTGCAAGCGCCTAGCTTCTTATCACAACGCAGAGTGAAAAGTAGATAGCTGAAACTTAATCTGAGATATGTATAGGATGGAAAAGGGAGTGTGTTGAAAGGTCTAGTAGTCAAAATTATTCAGACAATATTGTTTGGAAAATGTGCTGGGAGAAGTTGTGCGGCTGTGCTTGGTGTATCAGGTTTATGGAACAGTTCAGCATCATTTGCTAAACTAAATTTGCATTACTCCATACTGAGAAAGCAGTGTACCACAAATTCAGAACCTACATCAGAATCCTGTAAAATGTATAAGATTCTCTGTTGGGTGGTGGTTTTTTTTTTCCCTTTCTGCAGCTAATCCTCTTTGACCAGCTGCTTGCACGTGTCAGTGCTGATGTTCCTCAGCTTTCTGGCTAACGGGTCTTTTGGGTGTGCAAACATGGCATATCAAATGTATAGTTGTAGGAAGATGAGTTTGGAGCACTGAGCAAAAGTTCAGGCCTTGCAGAGAATAAAACTTGACCTGTAGTAAAAATGGGAACAATTTGTGTCATATCAGGCATGGAGGAGATGGGATTGTAAATTGTGTGTTTATTCCCTCTCCAGTGAGCACCAAGTTTAAGTATGTTCAGACATCTTAAAGAGGGAAAATGGAAATAAAAAGGCAGCTTTTATAGGAGTCTTAGGATGAGGTGAATGACATTAGGAAATAGGGATAGGAGACCTTTCTATCTTGTCTCTAGAAAGTGACATGTTAAATGTATCAAGGTGGTAATAGAGAATAATGCACAAAATACGAGGGTGGCATTAGAAACTTAATATGCCCATCTGCTGTCGTGAATCTTCTGTCCTATTGTGTTATTTTAGCATCCAAGTTCCATTCTTTTAACCCTCAGCCTGCTTCTTCTCCTCCACTTTGAGCAGTATCTCCTCTTAACGTTTCCAGCAAATGGAGCGCGGATAGTTATTTGGCCAACCCAGTGTAACTGTCTGCGTGAGGGTCAGCTGGATCACTTTCTGTGCCCCATTGGGATGTGTTGGGAGCATCAGCATCAAGCACATACAGAGATAACTAAATTTGGGTGTCTAGAGCTCAACTGCACCCTTAACATACATAAAACTTTCTACATTTCTCTTCCTTTCTTGCCAAGACTATCTAGGGCTGAACTCTGTGTGCACTTGCCCAACTTATTCAGGGTGGATTTTGTGTATTGATTTACTGCAGGAATTCTCCTTCTCCTTCCTGACCTCATTGCTGAAACCTTTTTCCTTCCCAAGTGTATTCAAAATGTAGCAGCGCTTCTTTTATCACTGGCACCCTCCACTGTAACATCCATGAGCACTGAATACCATTTAGGCAGGTGGATTTCTGTATCCATTTTTACAGCAAAGACTTTCCCAGGGATGTGTGCTGTGTATTATTTATTGCCCTGCCTCGTTTTCTTCCCCTTCTTGCTCTCACCTGTTAGTATTTCATTCATCTCTTACATCTTCTTTCTTAGACTGTGATTTAGGGTATCCTTTGTCAAAGAAAGGCATTCGGGATTGGAATATTTTCAAACTGTAACTGTAAATCAGAACCTTCACTGCTGTGCAGTCTCCAGTGGTGTCTTGGAAGGATGTGGTGTTGGCCTTATGCAAGAACAGTAAAAGGTCAGGCTACAAATGTCCCTAAATTTGGGCAGTCACAGGTGCTTTGGAGGGCTTCTAAGAAACGAGATGTGCTGGTGCTGAACTTTGCTGCTGTATTGTCCAAGCTCCCAGCAGTTGATTGGCATGTGGACCTTCTTGTTTGACAGCACCGACAGTGCTGATCAGTCTTTGTCAGGAAATAAGAAGAAAATACTACCTTGTAGTTGGTGTAGTTTTTAGAGGAAACACGAAATGGAGGAGTGAGAAGTCACGGCAAGCAGGTAACTTCTATGGAGGTCTAGATTACGTGGTCAGCACACTTAGTTGTCTCCTCAGGGTGAAATGTGAGCCTATGTATGTATTTTTTTTAAACAGTTAGGGTGGGTTTCCTTCCCAGAATACCCGTTCCCTGGAAAATAAACTGAAATGATGGTGGCTGTGGTGAATGAACTGTATGTAAATTCCCAGTTCCTATG